GGCCCGGCGCTGCGCCCGACCCCCGACGCAACCCGGGTAACCCGACCAGGAGAGTTCAGCGAAACTGTGTCAGGCCGCCCCCGCGCCGCGCCGTACGGCTTCATCTTGTCAGGCTCCCCGTGCCGCCCCCGCGCCGCCACCGCGCCAAGGTACGTCGCCAGCGGGCATGGGCCCCCGGTCTGACCGTGGTCTGACCCCCAGGTGGAGTCAGGATCGTCGCCAGCGGTCCTCGCGATGCAAATAGGGAGGGTAGTAAAATTTGGGGGATTTGGGGCATCACATCGAAGGGCGTTCCAAACATGGGGCAATCTCGGGCAATCTACTGCAAGCCGGCATCAGATGATCGTCGTCGACCTGCTTTTACAAACTTGGAGGGAAATTCACCCGACATGATTACAGGCTTCAGATTTTCTATTCCCGGTGAGTTTAATGAAAACAGAATCGACCAAAAAGTCGCTGCTCCCTGACCACGTTATCTCCTCTCCCTCCATCTCGCTCGTAATGAAATGAGTGTTGATGATCCAGCAAGGCCAGCGGCCACGACCCCCATCCAAACCACGACTAATTACACGGGGCTTACCTCAACAGACGGTACTGTACGAGCGGAGCGTGGCAACCCGGTGGAGGGGGGCAGCTTGGTTGCGCCTACCCCTTGTCCGTTGTCCTCCCCACCCCACCCAACTGCAGCGCACGCCCGCACACATACACTCATGCACTTGGCGCCCCCTCCGCGGAATCCTTGCGCTTGCGCAAACTTCAGTTTTGATTTAATCTGAATAATGAAGTGGAGGAAGAGTGTTTGACAAACGGTGCAACTTTAACCCTCTCATCCTACGGCCCGGTCATAGAGGCAATTGCTGCGGGGGGGTGGGGGTGGTCGCCGTCACCAGAGGGGTCCAGATGGCCTCGCCAGCACGGCGGCGAGGGGGCCCCGGGCCGGGGGGTGTCCTGCCGCAGCGCCGAGCCGAGGTTTCTAAATCATGCTCCCCATTTCGCAACGAGCGGCCTCCATATCCCCGCCCGCTCGGTGCCGCTGGGCGCTGCCCACGGCCAGACCGGCTCCAGGAGGAGGACATCCCACCCCATCGCCACGCCGGAGGGGTGGGGCGGCACAGCTAACTGGTTCAATCCGGATCCGCAACGGAGGCTGTGGTCCGCGCCGCCGCCACCCCCGGGAGCCGCTCCCGGCACGCCGCGGGCCGCTGGGCGGGGTGGGGAGGCTGCGGCCGCGACCCCGCGGCTATCGCCCGCCGCGGTAAGCCCAACGCATCACCTCGCGCACGGCCAAGAACTCATCGACTTTTCAGATGGGAGCCGGCCGGGGGGCGACGTCTGCGTGACATCCTCTGGCGCCGCCGGCTGGCCTGGGCTCCGCGACGGACAATCGATGTGCTGAAACCTTAATGAATTTGTTCGCACGGCATCCGCCGGGGGCCGGCAACCGGCGGCCCGTGGCTCTGGCGCCCGCGGGGTGGCGCTGAGGGTGGGGGTGTGGGCGGGGCCGCGGGCGAGAGGGACGGCCCCTAAAGGACGAGGGGGTATTGCGGCAGGCCGCCAGAGCGTCGTGCAGCGCATACGGCACTCCGACCCGACGACGACCATGACGGCAAGACGATATGTGAGGACGCGCCGCGCCAAGGACGACGAGGCCCGCGACCTTCCAGCCGAGCGGAGACACGCAAAGACAACCCCTTATAAGGAACAAGAACAGGGGAGCGCTCCCCTTCGCCAGGCCCCCCTCGGGCGAGCAGACTCGCCTGGCGCGCTCACGGGCATGACGGACGGCCCCCAACTAGGATGAGGTTGGCCAGGGGGAGAAAGGGAGCAGAAGGGAGCGACGCCGCCGGTGAAGGGAGGGGGTGCTCGGGTAAGTCACGCCATGTGCAACCGGCCGTGTCCGCCAACCCCTCCGACCGGACGAGGCCAAGCGACCAAGCTGAGCAAAATGGGCTAACTGACTCAGCAGGACTGGGCGTCTGTTTCTCTCCTGGAACAACCCAACAACCCCAACCCCTACAGCCAGCTACAGTTAGTCATTTGAGTCACCGGAGCTAAATGGAGTTCATTCTCTACCTTTGTCGGCCTTTAGGTTTTAGCCACTAAAGTTGTACAGCTTCAATCGCATAAATCGCATGAATTGTTAATCAAAGTCCAGTTGACAGTTCCTTGGACGGCTAGTGACTTGCAAAGTTTCCCCTGGCAACAGTGCCGGTAAATAACTCATCAAAGACCGCCGTGATCGAGGCCCTCAAACGACAGCGCGGCGCTGACGCGGCTGTCCGCCGGCCGGGCACGCGAACACGGGGCTCAGCCGAAACCCTACCCCGGCCCCTCCCGGCGCACCTCCCCGCGACACCCTCCCCCGGCGCACAGATACCGGCCCAGGGCTCGGCCACGGCCGGCTCGGATGACACGGCGGGGGCGACAGATCAGCACGCGCGGAGCTTCTCCTTGGGGGGCGGCCGCAGCGAACCCCTGCATCGGAGAGGAAATCAAAGCACACGGCACACGTGCCC